ATCCAGAGGGGGGCAAGTGCCCCCCTTGCCCCCCCCCCTCCCCTGCGGGCGCCCATGCCTTAGGCTATATAATTGTTATTAGGATTTTTAGTTTCTGTTTTTAGTTTTATTTTTTTAATGCACCATAAGTTCATTCCAAAATGTAGAAAAAAAACTAAATTAACTTTTACTACAATTCAATATTGACTATAACTTAAACTTAAGATGCATGCCATCTGCCAATGCCCTATATATAGTAATGTTAAAGTAGTAGGCCTATCTTAAAACAACTTAAGTCAAGTGTATGATTACAATGATATTCTTAGCCTAACTGAAAGATTTGTGTATTTTGAGACATGTACTGTTGTAGTAAATAGTATAGCATAGGCAATATATAATAGCCTCAATAGGGCTATTCTATGTCATTTCTGTTGATTTCATTCAGGTCTAGGGCTAGAATTTAGTAGACTGCTGTTACGATGTCTACAACACATTCTGTGAATTCGATGGCATGAGAAAGTGCCTAAAACAGAGGTTTTGGAACGTGACAAATACAAAGCATTATCTCAGCTCTAAGTAGAGGAGCCTTCACTGGTTGGGCCATTTAAATGCAGAGAGAAATTGAGAAAGGCTGCGTACCAAAGGACCTGCTGTATGGAGAGTTGGCGGGGGGGGGGGACTTATTGGATGGTCGCACCTGCCTTCTTAACTGGTTAACTACCATGAGCAGGTGGGACCAGTTCAGCGTTTCTTCCGTGATGGCCACGAGCCGCTGGTAGCGCCAATGTTTGTATCGTATTCAATGTGACTAGATTTAATTCGGCCACAGCTGGTTTTTTCAATCTGGTAGTTAATCAGTTAAGTACATATGCATACAAAATATAAGGGAAGCCAGCATAGAATATGGCTAATGGAAGACCATGACTGATCACCGTTCTGATTGGGGAACAGCAGTGTATGATGGGGCCAATGCATGTGGAAGCTTGAAATATAAAGACAGGACAATAAAAGAAGAAAAAGCTAAGAGCCTTCCACAGAAGACAGGAAAAATGATGAAACAAGAAATAGAAATAAATTCAAAAACTCAAGTGTTCGCCATTAATGTTATCCCCCGATGTTAGGTTTTCCAAAACCAAGATTAAGCAGTCCTTCATTTATTTAAAAGCACATCTATTTCGCAAACACCTTCTGGGGTGATGCTATCTACCATCTTTTTCAGTTAATGTATATTGGCTTGTGTTGCTTATGGTTGAAATGGGATGAAAGACTTTGGCTGGGTATGCTCGTATGTAGCTTTATATTGTTGCGTCTGTTTTTAAATGTGGTAAATTTTAGATTGTTTTTATTTCTCTTTTTAATATGGTTGATTTTGTACAGCGCTTCGAGCTTTTGGGGATGAAGCGTGTTTTTCAAATAAACTTTATTATTATTATTATTATTTATTATGAGGGAGTCAAACAGGCAGGAGATGAGTGAACCGTAGCCGTTACAACAAGGAGAGCATTACTGAAACCCAAAGTAAACCATAAAAAGACAAGTTAGTCAAGTTTCTCCTGCGAGAAATGCAGCCGAGGCTATCATTCCAGAATCAGCCTCATATGTTATAGGCCATCATCTCACAAAAGTGGAAGGAAATATATTAGTATTAGCCTATATAATATATAGAATAGATATAAACATGCATTATGATACATATATTATAATATATTATTTTATATATATATTATATATAATATAATAGTGTAGGCTAGGCTAGTAAGTAGTATATTATTAATCATTAATCAAACTCAAACCCTTACTCTACTTACTCAACTTACCATGTTTAATTTAAAACTACAACTACACTACAACAAAATCAAAAAGAGACTCATTCTCATATCTATTATAATTATCTATACTATAAATATAAATATAAAATAAGTTAAATAACTAAGTAGGCATTAGTCATTAAGTTCATTAGGCAAGGCTAAATTATACAAACTCACCACAATGACGTAAAGAATATTGACTTTTTCAGTTTTTGACTACGTTACCGTTTGGTGTTTTCAAATTCAAAGACTAAGAAGTAAGTTTATAGCATATAGTTATCGTATGATTTTTGTTTGTTCGAAATTTGTTTATTCAATTTATAGTTATAGTTCCTATCACTATTAGTATTAGTCAGTCACTATCACGTATATTATATATACGAATTAAATTTGGTGAATATTTCAACCAAGACTAGGCAGATCTTGTGGCAGTCCAATCATCAAAGACATTTTAAAACATCTTTCCGTTTAGTTAAACCTGCTAATGTAAATATTACTATAAACACTATCTGAATCTGGGTTTTTTTTGTAAATATTTAAGTCATCCTTACTGTCTGGTTACATAACTGCGATGATGTTTGTTTACTAAGTTTTGCTACTAGACCCAGAATTCTCTGAGTTGGCCTAAGTGAAAGAGACGAGGAAAAAACATGTCCTATGATAAATTCATGATATACAATTTCAAACTACAATTTAAAAATTGAATGACTATATTTTCCGATTAAATTTTAATTTATTTAAGGAGACACGTTGGTTAGTTAAAATAAAATTATAGGACTAATATTTCATATATGTATTTCCAGCCTGGCAATAAGTGACAGCCTCATACTTTTTCATGCCAATGAGCGCTTCCGGGTCTTATAGTTATTGAACATCCTCCATCGTGAACTTATTATTCATTAGCTTTCTTTCGAATCGATTGAACACATTTGCTTCTTGTTTTAATATTTGAAGCTCTTTTAACTGAACAATATATTAGAAAAATCTAAGTGTTTTATTTTAATAATGCCTTAAATCTTATTTTCTTTCACACCGGAAATAAAAATGACGTCATGATAATTCATTAACATTCACAAAGTGCGGCCATATTTGTTGTGCATTGTCCGTAAGGAAGATCAAAGACGAAACCGACTGACTCACTGTGAATTGCTTGAGGAGGGGAATTGGTGGTCGATTAACGACGATTATTTGTTTTAACAATGGGAAAATCAACATTCATTTTGCTCGTTTTAGTCATTTCTCCATACGTCCTAGCACTAACAGGTAGGACAGATACATTTTTTATTTGTGTTTAAAATACAACTCCAATGAGTGCTGGTGCTGTAGTGTGCTCTTAGACTCATTGTCTTATAGTCTTATGTTTTATTTGTATGGTTATTATTTTAATACAACACTTTCAGCCCAATTGTTTGTTGAATCTTTATTTTGTTATAAAGTAGGTGTATTGATTATTGACGAAAAACGCTCTCCGCACCCACCTCAGGGTAGCAATACACTCAGCAATTTATTTGGTTGAGAGGGTTGATTGAATTTTAATTATTGTCAATACATTCATTGCAATATAATGTGAATGTTAACAATGAAATGAAATCTGAAAAAGATCTAGGCATATGCTTTATGAATTATGAAGTCTATATTATATATAATATAATGTACTACAATCTACCCCAATAAAGGAAAGACTTCCCTTGGAGTCTAATTAAGATTAGCATTAGGCTTAGACTTAGGCTAAACAATAAATTAAGCAATTCAATGTACTTTTTATAGTAATTTGATTGAAAACAAGCTTTTAGTATATGAAATTATAATTATAGGCCAAACTGGACAATTTACAGTTTATGATTATGGTTCCCCCAAAGAGTTACTGTGGATGAGTGAACTCCTTTTTGTTAAGAGTTAAGTCGCAGATTGTAACAAGATTTAACTATTTCCCTATTACTATTATCTAATGACTAATGTTTTTTTAATGCAGATAATTTTAATTAATATTTGAAGTCAACCAATACTGTAGATACTTCGATGAAACAAGGGAGACTACTATTTTTTTTGTATCGGAAATGGGCGTCAGCGCCGAAAAATCCGAGTTTTTAATTTTCCGATGTGTGTGTCTATTTATTATTAAATTAGTTCTTTCCACATAGATTTGAGTTCCGTTTCCGGCCTTATAATTTGGAAGACATCTTGGCCTACATTTCTAGCCAGCTATTTTGCTTTTTTCAATCGACCTTTATTTTGAAAATCTTTGGTATATATAAGGCATCTTCGCATACAAAATTTTTTGTGAAATAATAAGATAAGGTCCTTTTTGATTAAATCTGTATGAGCATTAGATATTGATCTATATCTGTGCCAAGTTTCATTGATGTAGGTCGTGTCTCACGTTTGTTACACTTGTCACAGTGACCCATATCACCATAAAGTGGCTCAGCCTAATTTCGCCATGGCGTGGGCCACGCCCCCTTTTTAATGGCGGAAGTTGCCGATACTTAGGAAATATTTAATTATTACCACTATATACATCAAAATATTTTATATTTTGTGTTTCAGAATGCATTTTGAAGACATTTGTGGGCCACGCCCCCTTTTTAATGGCGGAAGTTGCCGATACTTAGGAAATATTTAATTATTACCACTATATACATCAAAATATTTTATATTTTGTGTTTCAGAATGCATTTTGAAGACATTTAAACTGGAAATGTTTTAATTTGAGCTTTAAAAACCCTGCAGAGTCCATATTATAAATGATCAGAATTTTCCCTGTGCAACACGTTGTCATTGGCAACCATTCACAGCCACTTGCATAACGGCTACGTCGTAGTACTATCTCAGAGTTTCATTCATAAGAGTTTGCCGTGTGCAAAAGCTATTAAACCATTGGTCAGGGAAAGCTTTTATTAATTATTCATGTGCCAAAGTTGAAAGTTTAAAATAAGTCGACCCTAAACAGTATTTTAGCGATAGGGAATGCGTTGCCTTATATAAACTATATAGGCATTGCGCATGACGCGATCAGTGGAATGAGGTCACAGAATGTGGAGATGCAGTCCATGTTAAAAAATGACAAACCAAGTCGTACTTTAAAAATTCATAACTTTAAAACTACAACAGCTAAAAATATGATTTTGGTGTTATAATTCTGTTTAAAATTAGCTCTATTCAACTGTGCCATTGGTTGATTTTTAAAAAAATGTTTACATTTTTGACCAAAGTATCTAAATACTGGTATTGGAAAAAGATATTCTTGTTTTTGAACTTCTTGCTGGTCTAATCATTTGATAAATGAATTCTGTCTTTAATAATATTAATATGTTTTGAATTTTATTATGGCATTCTGGAGAATTAAGGCAATCCACACCACTTTTTCATATGTTTTTAGCACTGCTGTTTTCTTATGGTCGCCATCTTTTTGTCATAATGGCAGACATGTGACTAATAGAAAAATGGTGTCTTTGTAAAAAAAATAATAAAGTAGTGCAAAAACATGTCTGTTAAAAATGAGATAAACATGCAAATTTAATTTTTAAAATTTAAAGAAAAATCCACAACTCCATCACTATGTAATCTGAATGCTAAGTCATTATCCCTAACTCAAGCGTAAATTCCACTGTAAATTTAGTCCCCCGTAACATGCATGCGGTTAAATTCACTCCTAAGTAGCCCCTTCTAACATATGTGAAAATCTCAAAGCCTAAATTCTGACATAAAATCAACCCTAAAACCTAATGTGCTACTTTTACTTCACTGTATTGCACTGACAAAATCATAAATTTGATTAAAGATTAAACTTATTTTTAGAATATTCAAAATAATGAAAGACCAACTTACATTGTCATTAATTACACTTTTACTCACTTTATTGCAGGTTCCACCAAAATAAATTCCTTAAGTTATTAGAAAAACCAATACCCATTGCAAAATTGAGGCCTCATTTTAGATATCATAATTAACCACCAAATGAATTAATTGAAAACATTCAATCAGTGTATTAATTTTTTATTTATTTTTTTAAGTTTAATATAGTAACAATCCAAGAACTGAAAAAAGGGAGAGAATCCTACACGTAAACTTGTAGTGGCGCGAAATGCATAATAAAGTGATGGTAAATATGTAGTTAGCGGCATGAGTTTTGCCAAGAGTTTCTCACCCAAAGCACAGTGACATTACTTTGGGGAATCCCAACCCTGTAATTAGGGTGACAGGACCAACATTCTGACCTGAACGATGTGTATGGTAACTTTCCCATTCTTCACTGAGCATTATTTGAATCATAAACATAATCTGACAAGCGATACAGATTCATTCTTTTTTTTTTTAATTCAACTTAAATGGTTAAAAGAAATAAAGATAGTCATCCTTGCTGTTAGCCCAAAATGAACACCTGGAAAAGGAGCTGAATTTTGATTGGCCGAAAAAGCTTGGTACTTGTTTGCTACTCATGTCTCTAATGTCTCAATTTAGCTGAATATTTCAACCCCTCTCCCACTTTCAATACAAGAATCAAAATAACATCACCATGTATTTTGTTTTGACTCATCTGCTATCACGGGAACAAAGATGGCAACTGTGTCAATAAAGTTGTGCAAAAACACCGTAAAGTTACATGTGTAACATTAACAAATCATCAAATGCCAATTATTGATATATATATATATACATAGTGCTGGGGCCTTCAGTAGGCTGGGGCTAGGCTACTATATTCGATAAAATAGATACATGGTCCAATATCATATTGTGAATATGATGTGTTTTGGGGGGGGGGGGAATCCATAATTTATATATATACATAGTGCTGGGGCCTTCAGTAGGCTGGGGCTAGGCTACTATATTCGATAAAATAGATACATGGTCCAATATCATATTGTGAATATGATGTGTTTTGGGGGGGGGGGAATCCATAATTGACATCATACTTATCAGGGATATTTTTACCACCACCCCTCTCTCAGCACCCCCCTCCCTTTTCTTCTGCCTCAAGTTACTAATTCTAATGGCTCCATTTTTTTTAATAGTTAACATTAAAGTTATCACAAATAATGTAAAATGCATTTGATTAGGGTGGGGTATAATTACTATAATTCTAACCAAGAAAAAGTAGATGGTGGTCAAAATAAAAATATGTGTCTTCAATGGTAGACTTATAAGTTATTGGCATGCTGAATGAATTATGAGTCTCATTTTGTCACTCTTACATCACAATGTTGCAAACCCCTTCTCTACAAGAAAATCTTAATTCTTAGTTTTGTCATAAGTTGAATACATGCCTACACTTTTTAGACAACCTATACAAATTCCAACTTGTATCATGAGCAGTAGCAGTTCAATAGACATACTAACGAAAAGATGTCTATTTAGTCTTAGAACTGTAATTGCATTAAGGGCCCAGGCCTAATGTTTTAAGTTAATCATTTACATTGTTAAAATTGTGTCTTTGACAACAAAATGTGATGAAAATTTTTATTTTCAGAGGTCAATCGTTACAAACCTGTGATTTGGTCCAAGATTTTAGAACATGATAAACCAGCATTCCACGGTGAAATAAAGGAAAATGAAAGAGTGGTTCAGCTTAAACCAGAGCTGGTTGCTAGCGATGCTGATGAACTAGGAGGGGCAAGTAGGTTAAAAAAAGTTCTGTGTGGATATAATTATTTTTTCTTCTTATAAAGTTACCAAGTCAAATATTTTTTTTCCCCTTATACTTAGGCTTATTTCCTGTTAATATATTTACTTAAATTCTTATTCTTTTAAATCTGCAATAGACAAGAATTCATTTATAATGCTTTAAAGAAATTTTTTTTGACATTCCCAGAATTTATATGTAGCTACATCATTTCCAAAAACAAACGGCACCCAAGAACTCAGCCTTTACCATTTGAGATTGTTGTTACTGATAAGGTGACAGGGGCTGCAGAGATCAGGGTAAAAGATGGAGAAAAGCTTAACTTTGAAGAACACCCTTTCTACAAGTTTGGTATTGTTGCTGAAGATTGTGGCATACCACCCAAGCAATCGACAAAGTGAGTTTAGACTTTCCTGTTTCACAAAATGTGTGATTTATCTTACTGAGCTACTCACATACTTCATTTGCTTATTAACTTTGTGCTGCAAGTTTATTATAAGGGATTAAAGCTATATATTAAAATATTTTAGTATAATATTTTCTTGGAAATTAATTGTAATTTTGCACAATAAAGTGTGGACTTTTCCAAGTTGCTTTAAAATATCAAAAGTAAGTCTCTTTTGTGTTTTGAGATTGCTCCAGATGTAAGTAAAAATTAAAGTCTTCAAAAGCTCTTCACTTTTCTGTTACAAATACAAATAAATTAACTTAGCATAATTTACAATGAAAGGCTGTGTATGTTGTTATGAAAACATTCTTATCTTTATTTTCAGGGCTTATGTCATGATCAAGGTCCTTGATGTGGACGAATTTGCCCCCAAATTCGACAATGAGTCCTATTTTGCCTATGTTGAAGAAGGCAAGATGTATGATGCTATTGTGAAGATACATGCATCTGATCAAGATGAATCAAATGCTTACAAAACCATCTGTAACTATGAGCTCCTTACTCCAGGTGTACCTTTTGAAATCTCACCTGATGGAGTTCTCAGAAATAAGGAGCCGTTGGATTACAGTGTTCATAGAAATTTTATTCTTGGGGTAAATAAGGGTTAGCTTCTTTGACTTAGTTTTATTATGCTTTTTTACTTAGGCTTTTTCTCTTAATGAATTATTTCTCTCAGCCATTGTTACTTCATAAACAGCAAAGTGAATTGAAAACTCGAATTTTCACAATAGCTTCTAAAAAATTTTGAGCACATGTCCCTTTTTTTGAAGGTTACTTGTCATCTGTATTTGGATCTTTTGGCATACATTCTACTTGGCTGTTGCATTGTGTGTCCATTTGTGTTATTGGCAGCGGTTACAGGGCTGTCACTCATAGCACTGTGCCTAAATATAATCCAGCCATGACCTGCTGCATCAGCTCAAGACGAAATTTCAAGTGTGTCTCTGAGTTATGAAACTCAAAGTTTGTCTTTGATTTCTGCCCTTGATGTCGTTGAGTGAACTGGGGGGTTTTTTGTACACAATTAAGGTGTTGATTATGGCAACCCGAAGCAGAAACCATAGAGACCTACACCATTTCCCACTTCTTCTGAAAATCTGCCAATAAAATCTCAACTAATCATGGAAATCTACACCACCAACACCGTTGTTGTAGTTGCAAACACTTGTTGATATCTAGATGCCAGCTGTGTTGTTATGGTTGTCTGAAAATGTTTCAATTAATTTCTTACTGACCCTTTGTCCTGTGGGAAACATGCAACAATGTTTCCAATTTGCCTAAATCACACTCCCAATTCAGTTTATGATTTTGTTTAGTTTCACATTCTTTAGTTCCTAGGCTCAACCTTTACAAGAGTATCTGATAGTCACAAAAGAGTATGTGCCCTGTTGAATTAAGTTCTTGGCAAGCTTGACACAAGTAAAATATTTGTCATAAAAAAAATGGCGATGCTTGTCAAGATAAAGCTCACCCATTATAAAGAAAACTTGATATTCCAGGCCAATGGGGATATTTAAAGCAGATTTCTCAGTATAACCATTGCAATTAAACAAATAACCTTTATGTGAATCAGCAGCACTCCACAAATTGATGCCCCAGGTAGTAGGCTTATTTTTTATGTACTGTTTGAAAGCAGTTTGAATGGTCCTGTATAACCTATATAAGCCACAATGGCTTCATCAATGGAAATCTCCTTCTCTGGCTTCATACTTGTAAGGGAATTTTCCACAACTGTATCAAACAGTGGTCAGGCTTTTTAAATTATATTTAAAAACAGCTGGATGTCTGAGATTTTCACAGGCTTCCATGTTGTGTTTAGTTTTGTAAGAGCCTGTTCCAGTGCATAACCATTAATTTCTGTAGCACAGTGTCCATAGAATGCTTCAAGTACGAACAGTGAAAAATAATCACATGCCGTGAAAGATTCATCAGTATTAAATATTATTGCTAATTCCTGTAGGTCTACTTTGTCAAAATATTTGACCACACATAATCACCTTCCTCTGTTACTTGTCCACTCACTCGAGTCACTTGGGGCCTAACCCTAGTGGTACTAATCTCTTCATCACTAGTATCAGAATTGTCACTTTCCCCATCAGTAATTAAATCAAAGTCTACATCAGACGACTTATCATCATTGATAACATTGTCAAAAAATGAGAGGGCCCTGTGATATCACTTAATCAGAGTTTGCATAAAATAAAAAGTTATTTTTGAAATCACAAAATCGCCTCGCTGGATCAATGTAATGATTAAACATTTGGTAGTAAGCTCCCTTGGCTTGTCTAGTCTTGTTGAGTTTGAGATTTCCATTTATAAGGAGATATTTCTGTTGCTGTGTAGCAGTATATTTTGTGGCAGTTTTTGGCCATTACGAGGCTGAAGTGGTTATGTCCCTATATGACATTATGGGTTGAATAGGTTAATACATTCATTTCTGTGTAAATGAGTTGTTTTTGTTTTTTTAATGCTTAAATTTTATTACATTGTGTCAATATATGGCAATTCTCAGGCTGTTGCTACTGACTGTGGAGGTAGAAAATCTGAGCCAGTTTACATTAATTTGGCTGTGACAGAGAAATGCAGAAGTGGATGGACTGGCCTACAGGATGTGCTGAAGTATCGTGCAGGATCTGGTCAACAAAGATTGGCTGAAGGTGCTGCGCTGAACCTCTGTGACAGTGATTGCAAACCTGCACAGGTCAATGTCAAGCTCACCCTGACAACTAAGCATATTGGGAAGGGATGTGATCGTGATACTTATTCCGTCAATTCTCAGAGGAAACTGTGTGGTAAGAAATTTATAATACGGAAAGCTGTTTAACAGTTTCAGATATTTTTGTATTCAAAATAAATTAAGCAGCTGTTTCAATCATTTGCAGTCTTTTGTAATAAAAATTGTTTTAAAAAGTAAAGATCCAAGAATATTTTGACTATTAGCACATATTGTTCTGTTAAAGACATTTGCAGAGTGTAATTTTACATGGTCTCTTGATTGTCCATAGATGATAAAATCACAAGTATAGTTTGTTGTAGAGCGCTGTCTGCATTTATGGAGCAAACTCATATTTCAGCAATAATTGTTATATCTGTTCATCCAGTCATTTGTGTGATATGCTTATATTTTTGTTTTAATCAGCACTTCCAATTTACCAGTTGCACATTTAAGGGAATACATTATACAAAGAGTGTTTATTTTATTTAAAATAGTGAAATGCTCTTTACTATTTATATTGATCCAGTTGTGTCTTGTTGCATTGAGTTCCTAGGTAAAGTTGTTTTTTTAACAGTAACTTGAAGTAATGTAGAGTTTTTAAAATAACAACTGTACAAGATGTTAGGCTTTAAATAGTATAGGGCATTTGCCTGATAATTTTTTTTCGTTAGCTTTTGTTTGATATCATTTTACAGGGTTTTTATCTTTATAACCTGGTGAAAATACTCTTTGTCCAGGTGCAAGTGGTGAAAGTGTAGATCTACTGCCATCTCCAAGCAGTGCAGACTGGTCTCATAACATTCCTACCGATGATGGGCACGAAATGGATCAGGTCTTTTCTTTTGATGGTCAAAACAATGCCCTAGAAGTGCCAGAGTCTGTTTTTAATCATATGCTTCACAAGCACTTCACCATTTCTGCTTGGCTGCGACACGGAGAGCCACCAAAGAATAGTGAGACCAAAGCACCTAAAGAGCACATCCTTTGTATGTCTGATGGAGATGGTAAGGACTTTTTTTAAAATGAATTTCAATTAATCAAAATTTGAAAAACTTTAACTGATTAACTACCAGATTGAAAAACCCGCTGTGGCCGAATTAAATCTAGGTCACATTTTCTCATTTTAGGTTAATGTACAAATTCAGCTGCAGTTTTCTTAATTATAAACATAATCTAATGATTAATAAACCATTTTGTGGGTAATTGAATTGTTTATAAGATAAACTTAAACATTTGTAAAGTTAAGTTTTGTTATGAAATTATTAATTGTTAAATTAGTATTTACAATATAAAAATGTGCCAACTTACGTATAAATTCTAAATTTCCAAATCATTTAAAGCCTTTTATTTGGTGGTTTCAAAAATAGTATATCCAATAATAAGAAAAATGCACCAAAGAACACAGCAAATGAATAAAATGTTCACGTATATGCCTTAAGTAACCCTGTCACTTGTTGCTACAGTAAACAAGTTGTACAATTTTGTATCTAGCTTGGAAATTACATCAAAATTAAGAAATAGCTCGTTTTTTAAAACACTTTGCTGAGGACATGCGGTTTGAATATAAGCATCCTATTGGTAAATTAAAATCTTGAAGCAAAGGGGGAACGGAATAATATAAAAATTTGACTCGATTTACTACGATACACACCTTGGCGCTACCAGTGGCTCGTGGCCATAACGGAAGGAATGCCAAGCCGCTCCCAGCGTCTCATTGTAGTTAACCAGTTAATATTGATATCTTATTTTGGTGCAAAAATTAAATGCTTCTATGGTCCATGGATATAATTGTTGGTTTATAAATTTTAACCCAAAATTAGTCCACTGTTTTTTCTTATTACTATACAGTGAACTAAATTATTCTCTTTTTCTCTGATTTGAACGTGAATAATGTTACTCAACCACAGGCATGAACCGTCACCACTATGGCCTCTACATTCATGGTGAGAAACTTGTACTGCTTCTGCGTAAAGAAGCTGAGGATGTAGAGTCACCGGAAGATATGAAAGTGTTTAGGCCTGCTGAATTTCGTTGGACCATCCCCCAGGTTTCAGATGACAGATGGCATCATTTTGCTGTTAGTGTGGATCTACAGCAGGAAAATAAAGATGGTGGGGTGAGTAGTGCGAAAATTCAGTTTTATGGAGTTTTTACCTTCAATTAATAAACTATCTGTAATTATTGGCTAGTTAAAATCTATTACCTTGTCTTAAAAACCTTGTATTGCAATTGCTCTGATAGGTCATATTTTTTAGGGGTTGGGGCGTGTAATATAATATTTTGCTTATTTTCTATAAAGTAATGCTAACAGACATCATGCAGGCTATGAATAAAGAGGATGGATGAAAATAAAGGAGGACTATATTGTTAGCCATGTTGTGTGCGATCATGTGTGTCATTCTAAATAGATAACCTGGATTAATATTTAGTGAGGTTACATTTTTGCTATGTTCTTGTCAGGTACACCTTTACATTGATGGGAAACTGCTCCTAACTAATGAGGATAATTTCGAGATCATTGATGACTGGCCTCTGCACAAGACCAAAAAGGTCCACAGTACCAAGCTTGTTGTTGGTGCTTGCTGGCAAGGTAAATCCTCAAATATCTTCATGTGTCATCTCTATAAACTTGATTTCTAGAAAGTAATGCAAAGTGAAGTTAAATAACTCTTTCCTGCACTTTTGCCAGAATCTCTTACCGGTATTTAACTAGAATATAATCTTATCAGGTGCAGACAACACATTTAGCCACTACTACAAGGGCTACATGGCTGGACTGTTCGTGTTGAAGGGAAAAACAGAGAGTGAACGAGTCATCAAATGTCTGAATAATTGCAAGGAAAACCTTGACTTCCATGCCATCAGTGACATGTCCAGTGGAACAGTAAGCATTTTAAGATACGCTCTGGAGACAGTTTGAGTAATGTCTATAATACCATAGTTGTTTTTAAAGGAAAATGGGCCATGATTATAAGATCATTTCAAACCTTAATGGGGTTTAACTCGCTACATTCCTTGAATTGTTCTTTTTTTTTCCTTGAGATTTCTAGTTATTTTACAATCCATGTCTAAAGTTAGCGATTTTAGATATCATTTTGTAGGGAAATAGATGAGGCTTGTATAAATGTTTTTCTTTAAACATATAAGAATAAGACTTAGAAGTTGTGAGAGAAATAATGCAGGATTTTTTAATGAAAATGTGTAATAAATTGCTTTAGTGATCAGATGCAAAGGAAAAAGAGGAAGAAAAACACCTGGAATTTTTTTTATATGAAGAAATCAGAATATTTTATGAGCGTTTAAATTTACTATCCCTCCACAAATCATACTAAAAAATTACAGGTTATTATTCTTTCACCTGTTAAAAATAGTCAACAAACATATCCAAAGAAAACTTTAACTTCTTTTCTTTATTTTTTTAAAAACAAAGTCAAGTGTCATGAGCTACTTTTGATTATGAATTTAAAAAAAAAAAATTTGCACTCCAATGTATATTACACTTTAACAAATTTTTTTGAAAATCTGTGCATTCAGGAACTATTGGATGTATTCTATTCTATTTTGTGTTATTTACATTTAAGGCACTTGGAATATTTTAGTGAATGACATATTGCTCAAATAAGTTCCTTGATGAAAACAATTTGGAGTTAGCAATTTTCATGATTTTCTTTTTATACACTCGTGAAGAGATTATAGCTGGCAATGAAAAAAAATTAAATCTGGTGCTGTTTTGTTTTTCTTAGGGTGATATATCCATTTATCATCTGGTCAACATCTGACAGAAATGAATTGTATGATTTGATACTATTTGGTTGTCTCACCAATAATTGCCTGAATACACCATCAGTTTTGGTTCTACTGTTCACATAAGAAAATCCATTAGCCATCATATAAATTTAAAAAAAAATAGAGACTTGTTTTATTATCTCTCAACTAAACAGAAGTTCATTATGTCTATCCACCACATATCACCTAGTTTAGTTTTCTTTTTCCTTCTGATAAAGTCTGACAACAACATTTTGTCCTTGTCTGTTTCTACATTAGAAACTTAAGAATGTCATAATTTAAATAAATCTGTTTTTGGGCATAAAATAAAATTTGATAAAACTCATAAAAACATAGAATGATGCAACACTTGAAAACTAACCTTCTGGTATTTACTTCTTGAATGGGGTATAATGGACTCAAAGTCTATCAAAAAAGAAATCAGAATCACTTGATACTGGTTCTCAATTATCTTCCTCAAAGATTCAGATAGAAATTGATTGATATTTTCCCCAGTTATATTCATTTTCATAGTGATTGCATTGTGACGTCAAGTAGCTTTTTAAAGAAGAAAAAAATGCCTAGGATGGTGACTCTTTTCAGCGCATCTTTTTCGAACTAACAAAACATTAAAATTATTTTTAAAATTTAATTTTTTATTATTTTTTTTCTTTCAGTTGTATGATTAAATAAATATAGAATTATACACACAAAAAAAAAGACTAAATATAAAGGTGTGCTCTTTATATAATGGGAATGAAAAGAATTAAAAGCTAACAATTGTTAAAACATCTGGAAAGGCCTTTCATTCATGTGTGTGCTAAGTGAATGCTAAAGCAAGAAGTGGTCAGTTTAGTGAACATGAACATAAAATAAGTTTTATTTTTTTAAAAATTGAATGAACAATAATTACAGAGTGTAAGCTTCAATAGCGAGATGACAGAGTTCACAATCAGCAGTCGGAGTGTTGAGGAGGTCAACAGGCTCATGGGACAGGTGGCTTATGTTAATGCCCGTACATATCCAACTCCAGGATACAGGACCCTCACAATTGAAACTTCTCTTATGTGAGTACATCAGAATTTCATTTTTTTAGCTGGTCATGCAAATATTTTTGTAAGTACCAAAACAGGCTGTGTTAAATTTGAATAAACTGCTTATCCTCATATATTGTCTGGAATTACAAGGGGGAGATGTTTTGTGGTGTCTTTTTTCAATTTTTTTTCTCTTACCTACTGTCTGTTCCTTATATTCTTATAATATACTTAGTTTCAGACAATATTTCCGGAAAACCATATCATGAAAAATATCTCAAAAGTCTAAAATGTTGAGTTTTTACTATAAAAGAATGTATGAGTTTCTTGCGCTTTTTGTCCCTTGCACCACCAGAGTCCACCTGAGTCCCCCTTGATTATTATTTTTTAAAATTCACAGATGTGAAGGCCAAACAGTGGTTTTGCCCCTCTTGGAAAAGCGTGTCCTTGTTGAGGAGCAGCAGGAACCTGTGTTTGTTATCACTGGTTACTCCAATCTCACACGTATGGTTTATGAGTTTGAACGAGGCCTTCGTGTGTTCCATGACATTCATATCTTTGCCCGCTCTCGGCCTTTGGAGGAGTCAGAGGATGATGACAATGATGGGCAAGAAGATAATGAAACAAACAAAGCTGCCAAGCTGGCTATGAAGCTGTCCAAAACTATGTTGCAGCGTATGTATCTGATATTTTATTTAAAGTTTTATTCATCGGTGTTAATTGTACCTCCTCAGTTTGGGGAACAGCCTTGTGGTTTGTAAAAAATTTATACATTTATTATTCTTTGTATTATTTTTTTAAAGACCAATGAACTCTCAAATGTGTAAAGGAGCACACAAATAGACTTTTAGTACTATATGTAAGGTAAAATGGTTACTTTCAGAATCAACAGAGCCCAAAGATGAAGAGTTTATGATTGATGAGTGTCATGTAAAGGCGGATCCACCCCTTAACTTGTTTATTGAGCATCTGTCACTCCCAACCCACTTGATGGAGATTCATGGCTTGGAATGGAGTGAAACTAATGATGGTGTTGTCATTCGAAGTAAGTTTTTTTTAATCTTATGTTGTCAACTTATTTTTCTATTCCTTTGAAAGATAAGTAGCAAACCCATGCCCTTACTGGTTTTCAAAGAAATTAATTTTTACAGGTGCACTGCACATTTCTCTAGAGACTTTATCAGCCATCTGTTCTCTTTAACTGTACGTTTTTTAAAAATTGTTTCATTGTATTCATCTATTAGATGCTGACACTATTCCCAACTACGAAAATGTCATCCGTAACATTCACTATTACCATAACAAGCCAGAAGACCTGGCGAATCGCACGCTGACGCTTTACTGCTCTAGTCAAAACCAGCGCTTCATCAGCACCAAATTCATTGAAAGGGTAAATTAATTCAACGTGTTGAGTTTAAAGTAGTATGTGAAAAAGAAATATAATAATAAAGTAAGATTACACTCATTACTCAGTCTTTTTTAAAAATTATTATTGCTGAAGGAACTTGTTAAAAATTGTATCTAATAATATTTCTATGTAAAGAAAGGGATGATGTGTCATTGATAAATTAAGTATATTGCTTACATTATTTCTTACTCAGCTTGTGGCAGTCCATCAAGCCCCACCACCTCCTCGCCCTGCTAACATTCAGTCCAATGTACAAGGGATTCACCAGTCATTGAAAAATCCCAGCATAGACAGCTTGCATTCACCGGGTGCTGCAAGTTCAAGTAAGTTTGTGTGTTGTTGTTTTTTTATTAAACCTTAAAACTTGATAACACCTGTAAATCTATATTTGTATGGTCAGGAATACCAATATTTGTGGGACAGGATATTGTAACTAATTGTAGAAGTTGGCGTCATTTGGTAATGTTAAAATATATTTATTTTTTAAATCAGAGGAATAAATCTATGCATTTTGTTTTTGCAGTGGTTAATTTTAAAGCATTTTTTTTATTGACCTTCTTTCTACTTGCATTTCCATCTTGTGAATGGAGGGTTAATTTTTTTTTGTTTACACACATGACATTTTTGCTCATTTGGTAATTTTCTCTAGAAGTCTGCAGAAAATATTTTCAAAATTTAAAAAAATATATATAAATTAAAGTTTTGTCTACATTCAGTTTGAATTCTTTGGCTGCATAGAGTGTTCATCTACACTTCTGCAGTCTTTCTTTGTATAATGCATTTTGGACATTCAATATTATTTTCTACTTTTTAGTGCATTTTAACTAATTTTTTTATAGAAAGTTGTGTTTTTTAAAAATATAAAATATATCTATTTTTTAACATTAGATCTCAAGCCAATTAATATATTCATGCATTTTTTAATATATTTATGTCAAATGGCGTACTTGGAAGAACATTAGATAAAGAGCAGTTTCATTTATAGTTGGAAAATTTGTTTGGTGATACATCAGTAGAATAGCACTGTAATGAGGTAATAGGAATTTTGGTAGTGTTCAAAATTCTGTACGAATTTACCGGCGTGCTTCCTCTGAAGTCATACATCTGAATGAGAACTAATAAGTCCCCGATTTTGCTAAGAGAACTCACTCAATGGCTGTTTGAAATAATTTATTATAAATGTCTTGTGTTCAAATTGTTTTACTTTTGTGCTGAAAATGTATAATGCAATCAAAAAACATTTCCATTCATTTGGATCAATAAAAGAATCTTATCTTATCTTACTCTGGTCCCTTTTCTGCTGGGCTGTGTTGCATTTATTTAGCTCTACTTTAATATTCTTCATTAATGAATATTTATGTGGCCATGTCTTTATTTTGGTGGGGTTTTTTTTTTTGGTTATTATTTGAACTGCTTAAAACTTATAACTTAAACATTCATTGTCTTATTCCTTCCTTGATACCTGTTCTGGTTTAAATGAAAAAACCAGTCCAATTGCTGGGCTGTGTTGCATTTATTTAGCTCTACTTTAATATTCTTCATTAATGAATATTTATGTGGCCATGTCTTTATTTTGGTGGGGTTTTTTTTTTTTTGGTTATTATTTGAACTGCTTAAAACTTATAACTAAAACATTCATTGTCTTATTCCTTCCTTGATACCTGGTCTGGTTTAAATGAAAAAACCAGTCCAAATGTTTGTAATATCTGGATTTTCACCATGCACTTGTTAAAAATGTACATTAATTTCCTTGTTTGCTTAACAGATCTAGGCATGGTAGCCATCATTGTTGTTTGTGTGGGGTTCCTGCTGTTTATGATAGTGTTGGGGGTTATCCGCATTCGAGCTGCGCACAAACGCACTCAGGTCGTACAAGTAGATGAGAAGCAAGAAATGGAATGGGATAATTCTGCTTTGAACATAACTATCAACCCAATGGAGCAGGAGGTGAGAAAGGAATTGGTAAAAACATTTTTTACACACTTGTAATATAGGATTTGTGTATCTTCCTTTCATTTCCATCTGTTATGAGTTAATTTAAGATTTTTAAAATAATTGTAAAATAATTGACATATATAACACATGCCTGTGTTTTAAGGGAATGTGAAATGTCACACATGAATAGAATATAAAATGAAGTTATATAATTCTATACACATTTATAAATTAATTTTGTGATGGGTTTATAATGTGGCATAACTATTTCAAATTCAATTAGAGAATTACTTTTTTAAAGAAATCCTACTTCCTGAGTAAAAAGGTTTGGCTCCTGAATTCTCTTTAGTTTTGTCTACTTCTTCAAATGAGTTTTTTTTTTTACTTCAGTGTTGAAAATATAGCACTAATACAACTATTGCTTCAAAAAGGCATTAAAATGCTGGCACAGATCTTTATAATCTAGGGTCCCCACACTGTTGGGAAAACGTGAAATATTCGGGAATTTTTCTAATAAATTTCCCGGTCGTGAAAACCGGGAAAATGGGCCTTCTAGTAAGGAAATTTTCGAAATAGTCAGGAATTTTATAATTTGTAAAAAATAATAATAAATTTGGCTTAGGATGCCATGAAAATTGACGTTAATCGCCGACCTCGTCTATTTTTAGCCTGTCTGTTATTTAAAAGGTCATTTCTAGTGGCTTCCCCTGTCTGCGCATGCGTGTTGAGCTCTTCAAGTTTCTATTACCGTACAACTTCAATAGACCAGAAATATTTATTTTTTGTTCACATCGCCGATCAAGACATGTTCGATTGCTTGGGTAAGTAAAGTGTAAAATATAGTGAATAATTATTTGAATATAGTTTTCAATTGTGAGGTAACCATTATAAATAGAAAAACTGCTCATCCAAGCGCTGTCTACAATGACTAAGCTTAGCGTACTTTGTTATGTCGTAGTCTTCATAAGTTGATTTTTAACAGTTCACTTTACATTTAATTATGGAGTAGGTCTTCTAATTTTAAATAGGCTAATATGATTAAGCTATTTTGTGATGTTATTTTTGCTTGGATTAGTTAGCTAGTTTACGGCTGACATTCCTTTAAAAGTTACTAAAACTAGTACTAGTTGAATGGTTGATAGGACTTGATACATCGATTCATTGAGCCTAACTTAACTGTATAAATAATTTATAATATAGTATATATAATTATATAGTTAGTTCTTATTTTATGCACTTCCGTGCTCTGGTTATACTTTGCGGTATTATACGATTATTCATAAGCACAGTGCGTAGGCAAGGTTTGTTTTTGTGTGTGTTGGGGGGGGGGGGGGGCATTGATGCATTCCCCTGAGGAAAATCCTTTACCATGCCGTTTCATATGCATATCTTAGTATCTCTTCTAAAGTATTAAAGTATAGTATGGTTATAATATAGTCTATATGATGAATGCCTTACTGTAAATTTAAACTTAAACATAATATTAATGATATGAATCATATTATGATCAATGATAATATATTTTATTTTTATAAACTATTCAGGATCAAGGCTCAATAAAATAATTCCCAACAGTTCCTTTAAAGATTGATGGTCAGGACAGCTATCATGAAAATGATTGAACAAGTCATCACTGCTTCACTATGCTGGAAATATTGATATCAAGTATTCAGGGCGAAAATACTAAGAAAATATCAATCATCTGATGAAACTTCAGCTTTATTACATATCTTAAGTGTCCAGTTCTGCAACTTCTCAGTCAAGCTTCCAGTTTATGTGTCAAAATATGAAACCCTCCTTGGAGAGATTTTATATACACTAAGTGTGTTGACTCAAACTATCCATTTTCATCACAAAAAAAGAGAACATTAACTCCCTATAAGAAAAGATGCTTTCTACTTGTGCTAAAATGCCCCGGAGAACACATTGCAAAATTTTAACGTTGCCCTTGCACTTTAAAATTAAACATCAACAATTTTTCAAGTCCAAGTAAATTAAAAATTGCAATTGCTAGGAAATTTAATAAATATTTGCATGTACACATTTCAATCACTTAATTTTGTGTTTATTTGTGTTCTTTTTTCAACGTTGCTTTGCTTTGACAATTGCATGGATTTTTATATTATCAACAGAAATGCTGCGTTTTGATAGGAATTTTTTTGTTTTCAGTAGGGAAAAAGTAGGGAATTTTGTTTTTAAAAAAGTGTGGGAACCCTGATAATCTCTTTTATCAATTTTTTTATTCAGATGTTTGAGTATGAGGATGGGGCCAGGCCAACTTTCCCAGAAGATACTGATAGTGATGAAGATGAAGAGAGCAGCATGCAGGGAGACTATGGGGACAGCACAGAGGATGATGAACCAGTTCCTCAAGGAAAGGCTCCAGTGGGGAATGACCTAGAATGGGATCACACAAGTTTTTGAGTGTTTCCCTGTTGTGGTAAGTTCACACCCAACAAGCACTATTGATTTCCTCTAGAAAATATTCATTTTGTTTATTTATATTTTTTTGGGTGTGCTCTGTTCTATCATTGAAGAATAATTTCTGATTCTTAATTATTTTTTTTTAAGAATCCTCTTTGTGATTCATCCATAATGTACAGTTACAGAAAAAGATAAAGCATCCTGACTCATTGTAACTGACCATTTGTAGTTGATTATAATAACAGCAGATAAGTGTTGTTAAAAAACATTGCTTGTGTTTGATCTGACTCAGAATGCCCCAGTGATCTTTTCTTGCATTCTGTAAATAGAAGTGAGTGTGTACATAGCTGGGTGGCTAAACACAGTGTGTGGACAGTTAGATTGCTATTTACAAGTTGTTGTGGAGATAGCTGGGTAGCTAAACAAGTGGTTGTGGAGATAGCTGGGTAGCTAAGTACAAGTCAATGTGTGCAAAGTTTGGTCACTTTTACAAGTCATCTGGACTGTGGACATAGCTGGGTGGCTAACTACAAGTCATTGTGTGCATAGTTGGGGTGCTATTTACAAGTCATTGTGTACTGTGGACATAGCTGGGTGGCTAAATACAAATAAATTTTTTACAATTCTTGGTCTCTAATTACTAGTCAATGTGCACATAACTGGTTGGCTTAGTACAAGTCTTTTTAAAAAAATTTGGTAACTGTATTTCCTGAAATCCAATGTCTGGATTTTTTTTTGTACATTCTCTGTTGTCTCATTTTTAAGATGCTCTTCATTTTCTACAATATTTACTGTTGTTTTTCAAAAGAGGTCAAGGCATGATTTTTTAAAAATATTTCAAAGCTAAATGCATAACCCAAAGCTGTATCATGCTTATTATCAGTGCTCTACATATCTTTATAATCCACAGACAGCTTCTTAAGACTATATACATTTTGATATGAGGTCAGTTTCACCATGTTAGTTACTGTCTTGCACACCTGCTTGTGAAATATGTGATCAGCTGAGAGGAGATGAAGATGAATCAACATTCCTCATGGGGTAAAGACAACAATGGACCTTTAGCTGGAGGGAAACACTTTTTCCCTCTTATTGTACATCAGATAACAACATCAAACATTTTTTTGATACACGTCCCCATGACATGGATTTACAATTTTATTTTTTTTTTTAAATTACATTTTTACTGCTCTGTTTATGATTGTGATTATTTATAGGCTTATCGGCTGCACATGTTTTAAAAATACCTGGGTTTGTAAGAAGATTTAACATATTCACAGCTTTAATTAGTCTACTAATTTTTCTATTCACAACCTTGTCATTGCTGTGGTGGGTCTAAAGTACAGTTTTATTATTAATTTTTAAAGTTAATATATTTATTTCTAAGAAATGCATAGGTGAGTATGGCTACAAAAAAAATGTATGCCAAAGAATAAAAAAAAGAATAATTAATGAGCAACAAGCATAAAAAAGTACATGATGTAAGCTTTTGGCTAGTTTGTTTTGTATTCTGAAGGATAAAAACCTCACAGACAGATTGTTTGTGGGTTTTTTTTAAATTAAATTGTTGGTGGAGACGAAGACTTTTATTTGTGAATACCTTTGTTACATATTGAAAGGTAATGTCGAATCGTAATGTTTTCACTTTTATTAATTTTATTTATTTTTTTAATATATTTTATATAACATTTGTCAACAATTTTATTTTTTTTTCCTGTTCGATTTAAAAAATAAAATAGCTTTTACCCTGTATATAAGTAAAGACACGTCTAGAATTTTTGTATGTATTTCAATGAATTAAACTTACACATTTATTATCTCATGTGAAGTGAATGGGTTTTTTTTCAGTTTGAAACTGGTCAAGTTGTTTTCTTAAATCAAACTGATATCAACAGATCTTTCCATTCAATTTTTTAACCAAGTCAATAAATGAGACCTGGAATCCTAAAATGGGCAGTTTAAAACTATTCAGCTATATTTAGTTTGTACAAACAGTTGTGACTTTTTCCTCACACTTTTGACACCAAAGATTTCCTTGGCTAATCTGTTGATCTCTTGGTGTTAAAAATAAATAGAACTTGTACATTATCTTACTTTAATGTCCATGTACATAAGTCATTCTCTAAGTAAAATTCTCTTTATATTGAATGTTCTCTTCTTTGTGTCAAGGGAAGACAAGGAAATGAAGTTTTGTAGTGCCATCTAGAGTTATCAGCTCTTATCACATTTTTATATCAGAAGCTTGTAAGATTTCTTTTAATTCTTTCCCAACGAAACACATTTTTTAATTTAAATTATGTCAGAATTTGGTCAAACAATAAAAGTAATTCTTAGATAATAATATAATGTGTGAGGCTGAGGATAATGATTATTATTGTATATCCATTTCATGATGAAGCTTACATGTGTGTTGTATTTGAAGGAAGGTGGTCATTGAATGAAGAAAAGGATAAATGTCTCCATTTTACACCGTTTTTTTTTTTTTTTCACAACTATATTAATAACAGATGCAGCCGTTTGATGGGAAGGAGCAGGTGCAATGCTTAGACCACAAAGTTTGACACATTTCACATGAATGTTGTTCCTCCCATCCTCCTATAGTAATTTAATTGCTTTTGGCTTTATGTTGGCTTTGGTATAATGACCCTCTTTTTTTTTTATGTTCCGTGATTGATGTTAGTGCGTAGTACTGACTTCTCATTATGACCTACCAACAAACCATTCATCATTCACATGTATTTATTTACCTATCTGGCATTTTGGAGTCCTTTTAAATCCATTTTTTTTTCTTAAAGTTATGATCCATATTATGGTTAGTTGTCTAGTTTTTAATTAATTTTTCATGCCTCCTAACTGCCATTTATCTTTATCACAAACCAAAATTGTCCATTTTGCGGTGAACATATTCCCACCTAATTAATATAATTCGCAATGTTTTTTTGTTGTTTTTTTTTTTATTGTTTTTTAAAAATCAAATTAAACCAGATCACCAACTTCTACTAGCACAATTTTCATACATTTTTAGATTTCTATTCTCTTATAATCTGGTGACGATTGAACTAGATGATATTTTAGAATTGAGCACTCTGGTGTCCGCTCTATCAGAACTGCCTTTACTTTATTCAGTTTTATATGAGCAGGATCCTATTTGTACATGGAGAAAACCGGTCAGTTATAGGACTCGGTTTTGATGCTCAAAAGAATTTAAGTCACCAGCTCTGTGTTTAATAACTGTCAGGGGACATTGTAGAAAAGATGTTTGTTACAGGTTTTTTTTTTTTTTTACAAATAAAAATGTATTAGTTTTTTTTGTTTTTTTTTATTTGTTCATTTTTAATCTTAAAGTCAATAACCAGATTTGTCTTAGTAGCTGACAAGGTTTTGGAGCCTCAGTGTAAATTATAAGCTTAAGTTGCAATTGTTAGTATGTTGTATTTGTGATATGTATAATATCCTATTTTTTCATTTCTCAAATGTAGATGAAAAAGACATTTTTTCTTTTCTTTTATAAAAAAAAACCAAACAAGATAATTCCTCGGTATTTGTAACTTACATGTTGCCAAGTGAGCAAAAAGGTCATCCCCCGCCCCCCAATGCTAAGACATAATTTTTTTGTGTTCCCTAAATTTGGACATATCTTTATTTTATTAACAAGATGTAAAAAAAAAATTTGAATCATTTTGTATGCTTAATTATGTAAATTGGCTCCCTTTGTTTTCTTGAAATGCTATGTTTTTGGGGGGAATTCTAAAATTGCTGTTCACATGATAACATTTTTTTTTACTTACAAGGTTTTATAGGAAAGGCATAGAGCAAATAGGACTGATACAATAAAACAACTTGTCAACATTTTTCTTGTTTTATTCAAGCCAAATGAAATCTAATCACCATTTAGATTTTGTAGATTAAAACAGTGCTTCTCAAAAAGTCATGGTCTGCAGACTAGATGCTGTCCGTGAGGAGAGCCAACGCAGTATTCGACAAAAAGTGAACAATTTAAGGAGATTTTTTTTAAATTTAAATATAGTCAATTAATCAGGCAACAGTTGATGCAGTAATCCATTTCCCACACAAAAAAAAAATTTTGGGAAGCATTTAAGTTTTCTATTCTAAGCCATGCCTTGTAGTTTGAGGAGATAACCCTGTGTCTCCCCAACGATGACAGCCGGGCCATCCATTCAGTACATCTACGGCTTGATCATTTCTATGTATTGTTGTAAAAAAACTCCAGCGTTGTGATTAGTTTCCATCAACCATTTATTTTTTCCTATTGTGTTCATAACAGCTCGTACCCACTCTTTCTTTTTTTATCTCCTGATATATTCCATAGTTCATTCCCAGTCACCCACATCACAGCTCAATGCTGAAAAGTTTTAATGACCAAACCTAGTGTGTTAGGCCATTGAAATAGTTGAGCGAGGCACTGGTTTCAATTATCTTGAAAGGTGATCCCCCCTTCTCTGGTACAAGCCCAGATCTGAGACTTTGTTTCATATCTCATTTGTTTACATTCCATTTTTGTTTGTTTTTTTTGTTGGTTTTTTTTCAGTTCTTTTGTAATCCATTTTCATACACTAGTGAAGGCTGCAGTAGAAATATTTGGCTATTTTATAAACAAATATAACTTGCTAAACTTGCCATTTATAAAACACTGTGCTTCATGGAAACTGTTTGTGATTAGGGTCCAAGGGTGCAGGCATGGGAGGATCGTAGTGTCCAAGTGTGCAGTCATGGCCTGTTCAGTGCCAGGATTCAGTGATGCTTGATTGCTTGAAAGCATTTCATTGTTGAATTACAACTGTAAATGATTCTGTGTGGTACTGACAAGCCGCTCAATATGATAAATTCTGTCAAGGAGTGTTCCTGTATTTTAGCCTCGTCCAAGCTGTGATTTCAGCTTGTTTCATGGTCTCTTGTTACTAACTAGGAGAATCTATCAATACTGGGACGTGGGCAACGAAAATATATGGTTAAAAGTTCAATATTAGGTTGTGTGTTTAATGACGGGAGATACTTGTTATAATCAGATAAACCATTTCATATCTCCTCATACACATTGACATACATACAAACAATTGGTCATCATCTCCAGAATCTTCACTTTCAAGGTAGAATTTTTTGTATGAAATATTTTCCCCTTGACCAGATAACGTCAACTACAAATCTGTCCTATTATTCTGGTACTTGTGTATGTCTTTGGAGTTGTATCCAGTTTTATTTGATGTAGTCTCCTCCACTAATACCATGATAGGATATCGCATAGTTAACGTTTCATTGCATAGTCTAGGTGAATCAACACATCAGTTCAATATCGTGACCATCACACAGGCTGGTATTCATCATCTCAACAGTTACCATTTTGAATGTCTTTAACCCAAATTTTTGTTCCGTGAACCCTTGTATCATCCATATCATCTTAACAACAGCTTTGGTGACAATAACTCAGCACGGGCTCTTCAGTTTTATTTAGGGCGTTGGGAACCATATTATTCATTTTTTCTGGTACAAGTCTCAAGTTATTATAGCGCACTGATATTGTAATCAACATCAAGCACAAACAAAAAAATAACCCAAAAATATTGTTCTGTTGCCTAACTAACTGTACATGTGATCTAATATTTATATTCAGTCACAAGACTTTGGGATCCAGGCAAAACTTAAAATATTATTTTCTTCTTTTTTTTTCTCCCACTGATTTTTATTAGCATTTGATACATAATTTCAGTGGGTTGTTTGGTTCAATAGAAATCATTCTCTCATTACATCTACAGACATCTCTCTGTCATTGACATACAGGTCTAAGAATGATGGAGAAACATGTCCTTTAGGCCTGACCTGCATGTCTAGATTCTTATTTATGTGGCTATGTTTACACTAGAACAATTTGATCCCATGGGTTTTTAAAATTGTTTAAATTCTTAGCCTTTAGATGAACCAAATCAATGGACTGTCTGTGGATAGAATTAGTTCACTTTATTCATTTGGCATTCTAATTCTATCTGTGGAATTCTGACATGACTCAATGTTTAGGAGTTGCTGGCAGATTTTAGGTTCTTTATTTTTAAAAAAAATATTTTACATTCAATGTCAGCTACTCGATAAAAAATATGTTGTTTAATAACTTTAATGGAATATTATTTAATGAAATTAAAACTGAAACAGGAGATCATGGAGTCTAAAATAGTTACTATTTTTGTCATTGTTTTTGTTAGCCAAGTTTACAATAGCTTTATAAATACTGATATTATTCTAAATTCAGACAGAAAATGGTTCTGCCCTTTCATCCTTCATGTCATCTATTATAGTTTTGTGTCATATTTAAATGTAAAAAAAAAAATACTGAAAAAACGTACAATAAAACTTTTTGGTGAGTTTATTCTGGTTTGTCTAAATGATTGGTTTTTGTGGTTTTGTTTTTGGGGGGGGTTTATAGGGGAATCAAGTTTCCAATATTGTTAATGGATATTAAAGATCTTAAGTCAATTTAATTTGCTTTCAAAGAACAATGGGAAGCAGGTTATCAATTTTTTGTTGATTTTTGTAGTTTAAACGTAGGCCAACAAATTAACAAAGAGTAGTTGTTTCCTGATTAAGGCCAACATAAACAGTAAAAGTGGATTAAAATTGGTAATACTAGTAATAGTAACAATACAGTGTTGGGTTTCTTATCATTTTAGTCGTTACCGTACACAGAAATTCTAAAAAGTTACAAAATAATTTGTTTTTGACTAAATTTATCGAGTGCAGTACATTAATAAGTTAAAGTTGTTCGTCCGTCGAAATCGACTAGGACCATCGAGTCATCCGGTTAGGATGGGAGGGTGGGTTACGGTGAGCTCGTAGGTGGCTTGCTAGTCCGATCAGTGCTCGGAAAAATCGCGGGCATGGGATAATTGCTGTAGTCGGTGATCTAATATTGCTCTTTCGGTTTAGCCTGGGTGTCTCAGCTGTGGTTATCCTACTGGCTTCATGAGATTTAGTCCCATTCTTGACAGTTGTTCTCCACCTGGCTTTGTCCTGGGTTGTTTGCATCCATTTAGTAAGGTTGATGCTGAAGGCCTTTAGTCCAGCTTTCAGTGAGTCTTTGTAACGCTTTTTTTACCTCCTTGGGAGCGCTTGCTAATCGTGAATTCTCCGAAGAATATCTGTTTTGGGAGCCGGTGGTCTTCCATACTTGCTACGTGTCCCATCCAACGGAGTTGAGACTGCATCAGGGTGGTGAAGATACTATGTAGATTCGCTCTAGCGAGGACCTCTGTCAGGAACTTTGTCTTGCCACCTGATGCCGAGGAGTTTCCTGAGGCAGTTTGTGTGAAAATAAGTTAAAGTGATATGTACCAACACACATGGGGATTGATAGTAGATTCGTATTCGGGAAGTTGATGTTTATTTACCATTATAATTTAAGTCATCTGGGAGAGATAACCTTTGTTATGAGGGAGATAACCTAAGATAAAACATTCAGTAGTGTTTCTCTCTATCTCGTTCCCCCACTTCACTCCATCTAACTAGGCATTGTGGAGTATTGTTAATGGGCCAATCTCTCTGTCTCCCTCTCTCTTTCTCGCCAACCTTCATCACAGGCACATTCTAATGGCCCCTTCAAACAAGAATGGTTAAAATTCATATGGCATGGATTGAAAGATAACAGTTGCTACCTTTTTTTTTTTTTTTGGAAACCAGATGGGGAAAAATTGTGACCGAAAAATGTTGGTAAATGAGGCTTGTGAAACTAAGATTATCAAGAAAGTGTTCGTCTCACTATCTCATGTTCTAGCACAGAATCTAAAAGTCTATACATTATAAAATAGGCATCATTTAAAAAACAAAACTTACCAATTAATTAATTAAATTTTTTATTTTTTTGAAATGAAAGTGGCGGATATAACGGATAAACTGCATTTTTGTGCTGCTTGGTAAGACTAAGAAGTGTGTTTCACGAGATGTCGTGACATCGCGGTCAAGAAATTACGTGATAAGGAATACCAATAGGGAGAAACAAAACTAAGTCACAGAGGTTTTTTGAAAATGGGTGATCATAAGCTTTAAGAATACTTTCTCTTTTACGACGGTGGGACTAGATTCTTCCTTTAAAAACCCTACATTGGACCCAGATGGCCATAACCCCCAAGAGGCCATCTATAATTAATGTCACGCTATATTGCCTTAATCCCCCCCCCACCCACCCACCCACACGCACAATAAAATAAATAAATAGGGTAGACACCAATAAATCGATGACATGTCCTTCATAATCATGGTGACTGAATATATGTTTAACATGAACAGGGCCAGGTATCGCCTCGATTCTCCCGAGTAATAAAAGTCGCATGTTTTAACCTTCATTATTCCAGTCCGCTTTAACTTCAAAGACAACTGCTCTTAAACAGTAAGATAATAAGTCAAAAGTTGACCCTAACACCTTAATACCAATTATACTACCACATAATGATATTAGGCTATTATCAGTAAGATGATAATATCGGATGGTATCACTAGCGTAACCAGCTGGGAGGTGATGATGCCCCTCATCAGGTGGCACCTTATGGCTATTAAATCCTTTTTTAAAAGGTAGTGGGGGGGGGGGGCAATGTTCCCTCTAAGGTTTGTTGGTTCGTGTGCAAAATCATAAAGTTGTGTGCAAAGTTTTACAGCATCCATTTTTGTGTGTGCAAAATTGTACAGCCCACAAATACAAACACACACTTACATGGAAATTTGCTGCGCGGATACTCAAAACTGCTGCGCGGCAAATTTCCATGTAAGTGTGTGTTTGTATTTGTGGGCTGTACAAACACACACTTACATGGAAAT